TTTAAAATGAATAGAAATATACTAACGTAGAAATCAAAATAAAAATTGCAGTTTGATTTTAAATACTTATTAAATAAAAATTTTCCTTCCCTCCACTATTTCGGCACATATGGGACACTAGCACACTCTAATTTGGTAAGATATTTGTTTACATTGAGTTCGTTCTCCTTACCTAGTCTCCCTGATCAGCACTTTGATCTCATTTATCCCGCAATTTTCAAATAAACGGTAGAATCTCTAGAATCTCTAATCTCTGTAGAGACACACAAAAAATAGTCCAAAGAGACTCTCATACCAATTCCGAAGGATTTCGATGCTCTGAACACGATTTTTTAATAAATTTTGTCCAAATATATTATTTGGAAAATGCATATTTGGTCCAGTTTTCACCTAAATATTTCACTTTTCTCCTAAATTCATCGGAAAGTCGTGAATTTTGACTACAGGGTCGTGTTTAACGCCTCATTTCGATCCTTCGGCATGGGCCATTGCTTGGAGTGGGCTCACGGCTGCAAGCTCTATGTAGGCCTCAAAAAAAAGACAGCGACTTACTGACCTAAAATTTGAATACGTTTTGATTAAAAAAAGATCACGCAGTCTCCGACTTACCGATATGACAATGATGACAATATTAGATCTTTTTTTCTGGGGTGGGCACCGGGCTTTCTGGGGTGGGTCGTGCACCCGCTGCCCCCCTAGCTACACCCATGTTTTTCGGAAATGACATGTGGGTGGGTCTCTTGGGTTTGGACTTTTTTTTATGTGTCTGTGTAATCGAAGCATCTTTCAACAATACAAAGTAGATATACTATTTACTTTCAAAATAAAGAAAAAAAAAACTGTTACAGAGTCTTTGCAAGGCATTATTTGCGACAATGATTATTATAAGAAAACACATGTTTAAATAATCGTAAATGTTGCTAAAGAAGCCTCCTTCTTCTGCCGGCGCTAAGCGCGGGCAAAGAGAATCGGATAAAAGGAATAGCACTAAACCTTCCCTTGTTCTCCATATTTCAGCAATCAAAGACGTCGACGCATTTCCACATATAATTATAACGTAAACGTTGCGGCATAATAATGAAGCTTTCCAGCTTGTTACAAGTTGGCAAGTGCCCCTCGGGAGGCGAACGGCTTCCAGAAAATTGAAAACCATAAACATGAATCAAGAGCGTGGAGGACTTGAAGTGTGAAGTGGTTACAAAACGTCATGCTAGCACACACAGCACTGATCAAAACATCGCACCGCCGCACAATCAGCGCCCAGACAATATATTTCAATTAACGCCCCGCTCTATGCCAAATGCTAACGCGACACTGTCACTTAGCTACTTGTCTGTTGTTTACACCCCTGTGCGTCGCGACGGAGCTAGGCGTACCCTCCAGAATGTCATGGACGGAGACGGTGTTAGGGCCGGGGCACTTTTGGTAATTAGATTTTTTCGAGAGTTTGTTTTAACTTTACACGCGTTAGCAATGGAAATGCGTCTAAAATTGTAAAATATCATAAAACTACTTCTACGTAAGCTAATGCGTCTTTTTTTTAACTTGTTCTGTCGTAGTTTTCGCTGTCAGTACAGCTTTTTACATGTACCGTAAAACTGGTTTGCGCTATTAGGTAAAAGAGTGGAATAAGTGATGATGAGATTTGAAATCAAATAATGCTCTAGAGAATAAAATGCAAATGTTTATATCTGATAAACATCAAATTTGTTATCACATATCGAGATGAAAAATTACACAGCCCCACAAAAAAAAAGTATCGGATCTGGTATTCAGACCCATGTATTTCCATGTACTTTTTTCCGCTGAATCCGAATTTGCTTTCAGGTTTGGCCCAATGGGTCTGAGTTTTCGGGAACATTAAAAAAATAGGTCAAAATTCACAAAAAACGTCATTTACGATCGACGAAAGTTATAAAAAGTCAAATTATTCTACCAGCTCACTAGACGTATGATTTTTCACTCGTTTAATTCCAATTTATCATCATAGAGTCAGACAAGCTGGTCCAATTTCATTCAAAAACAGAAAATAGATCAAAATGCTTAAAAATGCCAATATCTTGGCATAATTCGTGTTGCAGAGTTCTGGATCCATCTTTTTATCCACCCACCCATTTATGAATTCATACATCTTTCTATCCAGTCGTTCATGCATGAATACGCATATTTATCCATCCACCTGTACCACCTATAAAACCCACCCATCCACCCATCTATCCATCTACTTTTTGTGCTGAGAGATGAGATAACAGCCTAGAAGATTGAGAATGCAATAAAACTTGTAGAATACTCTACTTTCTAAACAAAGGAGAACGATATCTACAAATCATTCTTATTTTTGTTGCCATAACGTGTTCTCTTTTCTTCAAAGGATCTATGCAAAGGGTCACGCTTTCGTTTAGTCCCTCTATTTTTCGTTTCTCTTTTTAACAACCAACAAAAATCGGCCATCATGTTGTGATCCCATCTTCCTTGATATCGCTATTCTATAACCTTCATAACCTGATGAGATTGTTCGCCTTGTTCTTCGCTATGATCTCTAAAATTTTCAGGAAACCAATCCAGATGTGAATGAAGGAAGTGCAACTTGTAGTCCATCAAACATTCCAGGTCTCGGAACTCTTTTATCAATTTTAATACAATTTCTTCGTATTTAGGACTCTTGTTGTTTTCTAAAAAAATTGTCGCTACAACTTTGAAACTAGTCCAAGCACTCTTCTCAACGCTACTACTCATTGTAGTGATGAATGTTGCATCCTTGAACAATGTCTGATCTGAATCTGAGGTCCATCGAATACATCTTCTTTCAATTTCGCTTCAGAATTATTCGGAAATTTTCGCCCTTTATATATATAGGTCGAAAACTTGTTGGTTGTTAAAAAGAGTCTAGTGAGCTGGTAGAATAATTTGACTTTTTATAACTTTCGTCTATTACTTAACTCAGGTAATGACAAACAAATTTTGAAAAGTGCCACAATTCTAGACTCCGTCTTTGAGGTAGATGACAATGTTAATAATATAATCAATGGTGTGATTTTAGTTTTTAAGTGGCTTAACCGTTGGTTATACAAGGTGGTTCAGTCATAATGTGATTAATTTTAACCACGAATTCGGAAAGCCTAATAAAGACAGAAGATCGAAAAAAATTGTACTTACTACTTACTTGACCTTTTAAAAAATAAGCAAATTACCCCTTAACTCCCGTTATCTCGGCGGGCTACTTCGCAACGTTGAAGCGAAACAGCTGATTTCCCAAGGCGTCTTGAACTTTGCAATTGGTTTCAAAATCAAAATGCAGCGGATCTCAACTTAACAAAATGCTATAGATGGATGAGTGAGTGTTCTTTTAGCCGTACTGTTATTTTAAATAGGTAATATTACTTTTTGAAAAGCAATAAGTCACACAGTACGGTATACGTACTACAAACCAAACAATTAATTGAACATAATACTAAAAACTCATAAAACATAGTGAAAACGTTAACGTTTTGTCGTCCATTGCTACCTACTATAGATAAAAAACACAGTAAAAGCTAGGTTAGTGACCGAATACGGTAGGTCAAAATTCACTCTCGATAAACCTTTATAAGTCAGGAGCGGTCCGAAAAGGAGCTTAAATAATGATTTGAAAATATTTTTTTTTAGTGTAAATATGCATTTTAAAATTCTTTTAATCGCGTATTCCTATTCTACTCATTCCTTAAAATTAATGACACTATGACTGAATTACCCTGTATACACTACGCTACAAATACTATAATCAAAGGCTAAAAAGAGAAGTGCCAAATTATTGGAGCTTATCATTTTGAACAGTCCTTTCTTCCATTAAAATTAGATTGCGAAATATACTGTGATTTTATCAAAAATCAACTGCTGCTCTTTTATGTTGCACTACATAATTTTCGATGCCATTTATGGTTTGTATATGACAAAGCACAATTTATCAGTTTGGTAACTCGATAATATACTCAACATATTGTATCGAAAGAGATAGCTAGGTTGATACGCAGTTAAACCCAACCAACTGTGGCCTCTAAAGCGACCGGATTTAAGTCCCCTAGATTTCTTCCTTTTGAGTTATTTAAAGACCTTATAGTTCGTACGATATTTGTTGAGATAGAATTGAGAGTCTTAAAAGAGTTAATAGTTGAAAGCGATTGAAATTATTATTATGACTATTCAATGAAATATAGGATAATAGTGACATGCAAGTTGCTATTACTTACCTGTAAGTTGAAGAAAAGTGCATTGAAAATTGCCTTTGATAAAATAAAAAATTAGATATTTTATGACTACTTCAACAAACCCAACGCCATTTTTATTACATGTGCTCTGTTAGCTTTTTTTGAATTCTACAAGAAATTTTCAAAAATTAATAAAGAACGTCAAAAGTTACTCTATTTTTTGCAAAAAAATTAAAAAACTGATTTATTGACATATGTTCAGAGTAAAACCCCCTTGAGAACTTATAATCATTATAATGTTAACATTATAAAGATTTGCAAGAGTTTATAATTTCCTCATAAAATAACTTTCGCCGACGCCTATGTCGACAGAAATTCCTGCTGGCTCTAGGATTATATGGGTTTATAAGTTAAATTGAAACTCTGAAACGCTTATGCATTGATTGTTTTAGGGTTCTAATAAAATACTTCTTGCCTAGTTGGGGATGCCGTGGATTTTGAAGTTTAAAATTAAGTACAACATTGTTTTTCCATTTAGATAGTTTGTTGTAAAGAAACTATATCAATCTATTTAAAATGTACAGTCAATGTTACTACAAAAAAGCTTACTTTACTTCCTTTTAGTATAAGTAAGGTAACTTTTTTTTATAAAACCATTACCAACAGCTCTATTCATAAGCAGAACAATTTATTTGATTATTCAGTGTTAATAAATGTATAAACTTCATAAAATTTACCTTAAAACCGTCATTTGATTCCATCAATATTAAAAATGTTATTAGATTTGATTATAAAAACACAATGGTGTATTTTCAGAATGAGGTTAGCCCAGCAACGTACAACGTGACGAATGCGTTCAACAATGCTACAGAAAAGATATCTCATCAGGCTATGGAAGTGTCGTTTAATGCCACAGCAGCAAGAAAAGGGATTATTTCGGAGGAAGTGACTCCGGGTATGTTACAAATGCATTGTCCCTAACGGTTCTGGTTATACCGGAAGTTGACGTCATCTTCGTTATTTTAAATGGAACACCTTGTATATTATTGCCATTTTGGATTCTACGTCAATTTTTAGGTGAACTTTCATAAAGGTTTCCTATTCTCAAAGTTAACCGTTTTTGATACATATATTTCATTTTTTCAAAAAGAATTAAAAAAGCACTGCCTAATTCAGGAAGATGTGTATTTTACAGTGATAAAGTTAGAATAATAAAATTTATAGGGGATATAACTAAAACTATAAGCTTTCCTGCATTAAGTTCAAAATGACTTAATTTCATACAGGGTGATAGCAATTTAATGCCGAATTTAGTCAACTTTTAACAATCTTAACTTATTTTTTAAATAGAACAATTTTGTTCTCTTTCGNAAAATTTATAGGGGATATAACTAAAACTATAAGCTTTCCTGCATTAAGTTCAAAATGACTTAATTTCATACAGGGTGATAGCAATTTAATGCCGAATTTAGTCAACTTTTAACAATCTTAACTTATTTTTTAAATAGAACAATTTTGTTCTCTTTCGAATTACTGTTTTTCGTGCAGTGAACGGATATCGCATAATTTCTTGCGAGGATTGCTGTGAAATTTTTAGTGGACATGAAAATAAGCACCTAATCTGTCACCAGTTTATTGTTGTCAATTTAACACATTCAGTGAATGTTTATTTGAGTATTATTTATTGTTAAAAAATGGAAAACGTTAACATTTATTCAAATGCTGACATTGTAAATTTATTATTTATTCCTGGAGGGTGTCACAAGATAATATATACAACTTGCAGACTATCTAATAAGAGATGCACTCATTTACTACCAATCAGTAGGGATAAATTAAAAATAATTTTAATACGATAACAGAATTAAACTACTTACATAATACGAATAATAAATTTTTCAGAAATCTAGTTAATTTGGTCGAAATGACCGTCAACTACTTGTAAAAAGTTATGTATCTTTCTTGTAATATATCCGGATATTTGGACAGAAAATAAAGTTTCAAAGGCTTCTCTTATACGGGCAACTAGGTTTTATTTGGAATAAACTGGCATTGAGTACACTTTCTCTTTTATTGCACCCCAGATATAAAAATTTCGTGGTGACATATCTGGAAATCTTGGTGACCAATTCCAGGGTCCTAGACGTCTAATCCACCAGTCTTCAAACATTTCATTTAATTGGCGGAATACTTCGTTTCCAGAATGAGGTGGAGCACCATCTAGGGGTAGATCCTCTAAGAAATCTGTCGGTTCTCAAAATATGGAGGTATTTTCGTGTATTTAAACTGTACTCGTAAATAAAGTACCTCACCTGATTGTCTTCAACTAAGTAAAATACATTGACACTAAACTTGTATTGAAAATTTTTCGCGGATGACATGTGGATTTTCTGATGCCCAAAAGTGTCTATTGTGTCTATTAAAAATATCTTCGTTACAAAATTTTGACATATCTGTCCAAACGATTTTGCGTAACAACTTTGGATCTTCTGGTGTTCGAGTTAAAATCATTTCACAGAATTGGATTCGTCTTTCAGCATCCCTGGGATGAAGTGCAGGTACAAAATTGTACCATACAATGTAAATATTGATATCTTCCACAGTCCCCTTTCACATCCTCGTTGAATGACCGTGATAAAGGAAACAGCATATGGCGCATATCTACTCAAAGAACGTTCTGCATACAAGGGAGAATCTGCAAACCCATTTTGCCTTGTTTTACCATAAATTATAGCAATAATGATTAATTCTGCATTGCCTTACAGATCGGCCATTTTGAACACTTCTAGGACTGATGCAAACAATAAACCACTGCAATAAGAGCATGTGCAAATCACAGTAATAATTACCAAATCAAATCAACTCATTAATTTTTTCTCTAAATCTGTTTTTTTTTCTGTTTTTATGTAACATATAATATGCTTTTTGGTAATACTGATTTATATTTAAAGGTGCATATAACCTCAAACTTTTTTTGGATGAATTGTGAATCACCCTTTATAAACTAACTAATGCACATCTTATATCATCTTTAGTGTTTAAAAACATTTATTTTTGTGTACGTGAACAATACACATGTGAAGTGTTTTCCTTGGCAATAATTGCTACATGATACTTTTAAATTTTATTGAAAAATTTGTCCTTTATCAAACTTTCTCAAGAACAATATTTTTTTTTGGTTATCTCTGGTCAAACCGACGTTTTTAACAAATAAAAATAATCATACACTTCTTCATCACGATAACTATGTAAAATTAGTTTCTGCACAACCTATTGTTTATGAATATATTACAGTAGCCAAGGACGTGTACTAAAACTGAAATTGATAGGTCAACTAGTGTAGAAGATATTTTAATAAAACCGTTGTCAATAAGTAATTTTCAAACCGTCATAAAAAGTGATGATGATCACTAGTTCATTAGAAATTTTGTGTTAGTTTTTACAAAGGTACACCTTGTAGAAGTTTGACAGTCGAACTAAGGGACACCTTATTTCCAACAGGTCCCGCTGATTACTGCAAACAAATAAGTCTAAGCGACAAAGGCTACTACATTCCAGTTAGTCCAAGATTTGAGCAACCCCCTTCTGGTCCTGGCCCAGGAACATATCACGTAAGTACTCTCGACTTAAGCTTCATTATCTAGTACGCGCTGGTAAAAATATTACACACTAATTTTGAGATACACTTTTAAGACTGCTTTAGTTACAAATAATTGCCTTCATTTCGATTCGTGACTTAAGAAGTTCTGTTTTGATTACATAAACATTAGTTTAAACAATTAATATCCGCTTGCTCCTCTTGGCGTCGGCTTAGCGGTGTATTTATTTAACTTTTGGATCATGAACTAAACACACGGACCTAAAAGCTCCTTGATGCTGACTAATTCGCGAGAAATACTTGCAACGGCAAACAGTAATAACTATTTCGGCTACTAACCAAATAATCCGTAGGGTAACAGCGTCACGATATTCTGGTTCACCGCGTACTGCCGATTGCATTCCGAATTCAGCGTTCTGTGCAGGACGCAACACTGATATAAGTGATATATGTCGGAGTGCTCGTGACATCCGATAATATATAAAGATGACTCACAGAGTAAGCTCTGGCATGCCCGGAAAGGATGTGAAGGTCAACACGCGTCTCAGAAATGATAAAGTTGCTGGTCAGGAAATCTATGAAGTTCACATTTGTTGGTCTAATATCAAAAATGATTTAAGGAAAGCTTCAAAAATGGTATTTGTTATATTGTTTTTATTGAGTTATTCTTGTGGTCAAAATTGTATTGTTAATGTTTAGAAATCTCTAGTAGTTCTAAACTTAAATATTTTAAGATATAATACACAGGAAATCCCAGAAAAAAACTGCACAAACTTTAAGGGAAGATTATTGAAGAAAAAATATACAATACAAAAAAAAATCTCCACACTTTCGAATTTGCAACAAATGATATAAACACATTACCGTCGTAAACAGTTTAAAACAACCAGAAACAACAGGAAGGTAAAGCTAAATTCTGCGGACCTATCGAGCTATGAGTTTGAACACCTACCCGGAGAAGTTGCAGTTCACTAACCAGGAAGCAGTTCCTGGCCATCGCGAAAGACAGTTCCAAAGAAGGTATCAAATTTCATATACGGTTCATGCTATAATGCCTATGTCAATAATGCTATCTATATTTCTATGGTAGAAGAAATTACCCAGACATATATTCTTTCTTTTAGGACAATTATCTGACGTGTATTCAATGAGTGAAAAGAGAGTGAAAGGGCTGTGGCGAAAAGTTAAAATTATCAAACTATGTATTATTGGCAGAGCCTATCTGGCTTCGACAATATTTACTTGTTTTGTTAAACGACTTATTTAGAAAAAATATCTAGTAGTTTTCTTGGTTTCATTTGTAATACTTTTACTCCGTGAGTTCATTTCTTGTATTTTTCGGACATTCAGTGATTTGGAATATTACAAATTCCTTAACCCATATCGATTCTTCAATACTTACAACCTACCGACGAAAATCTTATAATAAACTTAATACGGCTGTAAAGCCTTTCAAGGGATAAAATAGCGGATTATGGAGCAAAGTTCGATTAAGGGCCTTTATTTATGGCAGTTCTTGTAGCTCGTTTTTGTTTTTCCGTTGTTATACAAGGTTAATGACTTTCTAAGAAGGTTTCATAAGGGGACCAACGATTGATTGTGTGTCTGCAAAAATATATCGTACAAAATCGTAAGGGGCTAGCGTTATTAGAAAATTGGACGAGACGTGAAAATATTATATGCAAAGTGTGAATTTATATATTTAGAACTTATTATTTTAGTATGACCGAGATTAGCGATAAAGCTTCACAGAACGCTATGCGTAATAATCAAAACGCTATTTTGATGTAAGTAGATATATCAGATATGATAGATATTTATAACATGGTCGAAATATTAAAGAATAGTAATTTTAATGCATTAATTCCTTTGAGTGGAGCCACTAATATTAGACCAGTTTCATAATGTTGGTGACATGTTGTTGACACTTAGGCCAATCAATAAATAGAGCATTAAATCAGTAATTTTGCGACAAAAATACTAGTAGCAAACGGTCTGTGCCATCTGCTATCATGTAAAAGACAGTCTGTAGATGTATGCTTATATGTTTCCTACTCCAATTTACCATTATTTAATTTTTTATGAACATTATTTTTATGCAAAAAACGCATTTCTTTTAGTTTTTTTGCTTATAAAATTTAAATTAACGAAGCAATCTGAATGCTATGGGGAGTCAATTTGTAGAGAATCGAAATATGAATAAAACGAGAGGTCGGATAATTAGAAATGAAGAAAATTTAAAATTTTTTTAAAAACTTATTATTTCGACATTTTTAAAGCTGTGCACAAAAGTATGGTAAAGATGCCTGTTATGAGACATCTTTTTTTTAAAAAAATCATGGTTTTTTTCAATTTTAATATTTTTCTTGGAAAATTAACTTTTTTCTGTAGAGAATTTAATCTAGATCCTTCAAAAAAACGCGAGAACGCCTCAAATTTGTATTTTAATTTTTAAGTTAGATTTTATCAGAAAAGTAATATTTGCCTAATCGAAAAAGGGGTTCCCAATTTAAGACAGTATGGGTTCTCAATATGAGACTATCTAAAATTAGTAAATAAAGCTGAAAATGACCTATTGTTTGCTCAAACATATTTTTATTGAATAAACAGAACATAAACATGTTTAGGTATGGCTTTCTCAAAAACAAAAAACATTTTTTTCTTTAAACAATGTAACATTTTTTCTTAAAATAACGAATAGGTAATTCTGTGAACAAAATAAAAAAAAAAGTAGGTTTTCAACCTTAACAACAAACGGCGCAAATAAACTTTTTTTATTTTATTTCTCCACATTCTAGATGTGTCCATTTGAAACAGGCCTGGCATTTCTCCCACTTTTCACCTCGCCTATCTTCGGAATACAAACCGGCGCAATATGGACACTCTGCATCGTCTTCCTCGTCTTCTGAAGAAAAATCCGTGGTGTGTGAAACAGTGTCATCATCTTCACTGGACGTTGATGATTCAGTAAGAACTTTCCTTTTCACAGGCCTTTTCCCAGTTCCTTTTCCTTTTGCAGCACATTTCCCTGGCTTTCTTTGTTTTTCCTTTTTTTTGCCTTTTTAGTTTTTTCTCTTCAAAGCTTCTTCTATTTGTAGCTTGTACGGAGAAGATGTTATCAAGCTAGCTGAACCTGCACGACTAGACTTATCCTTGCATCTCTCCGGGAGTGCAGGAACTGGTTTTATTTGACACAATTGTAGTGGAATCTTCTTTTCTTGTTGACTTGCCAAGAACCCATCTTGAATCCATCTGAAATATATCAAATTTGCGAGTTTAGTATTGAAGGGCTAACGAAAAATCTTTGTTTCGTTCATTTATACTAGTTACCCCAGTGGTGAAAATGCTTTACCTTCATATGCGACGCCTTGTCCCGTAATATGAGGTACCTCATATTAGGAGCGCTCATACTAGGGTCTTAAGAAATTTTATTCAGATTTAGGTTAGTTGGTAAAAGCATGAAAAAAATTAACTCAACGACATGATAAATAGATACTACGTCATGTTAGCTTTATGTTAATGATAAACAACTCTGTCTTGTTAATAATTTTCTGTTTTCTACATACCTTTACGACAAGCACTGCAAGTACTTTGGCGACCGGCACACAGAAACTTGCCGCACAGCCAACTGCTTTCCCGCGCAACGCGGCCTCTGTTATCATACGATAGAAAGTGAACTGCCGGTAATATACAACAGTGGCACTCTTTTCAAAAAATGGCCTAATTTGCGAGAAAGCCCAGTATCTCATATTCGGAACTGTCTCATAATAGGCATCTTTACCCTAGTGAATCATATGTAGATACTTTAAATGTGCACGCACAAGCAGGTGCTACCGGACCATTAGTTTTGACACAATTGCGATTTGAATTTTTTGGTGCACTATCTTGCAAAACTTCTGGATGCGTTGGAGGTGGTCCGATTTTAATTTTGTGCAAAACCGTACTTATCTTATCAACTTCGACGTCACCTGTTACATAGGTGTTGTATAACAATGAAAAAGAAATATTAACGGTCGATAAAAGGAAGCACAAAAAAAAACAAACACCTAGGTGGGGCAATTCTGGAAGGAAGCCTAGATAGTCGAAGATAAGTAGTTGAAGTGAGAATAGTGCGAAGTGAAAAGTAAGACGATCAGTGTAGTGCGAAAAATATAGAAGCAGTGGAAAATTAAGTGTTTAAACCGTTATTATTAGTTAGCAGGTAATATTCTTTAAGTACTTTGTTGTTAATTGTTCTATATAATCTTATGATTGTGATGGTTATAGATGTTTCATGATAATAATTCTTTGTATGTTTAACTTTCATTGTTTTATGCTCAGGGGGTTACAATTGTTATTAACGATTGCCCATTGTTTATTACATGTAAAAATATATAAGTGCATATATATGTATATATTGTCGTATATATATATAACGACTTCTTTGTTTCACATCTAACTTGTTTTTGTCGTGAATACGTTATACGAAAAACATAGATGTTTCATAATAATAATTCTTTGTGTATGTTTAGCCTTCATTGTCTTACCCTCAGGGGCGTGTATTTTCCTAATATAAAATTGTTACAATTATTATTATAGATTGCTCATTATTTATTACATGTTAAAATATGTATATTGTCGTGACCGCCCGGATATTGCAATAACGACTTCTTTATTTCACATTTTACTTGTTTTATCATGATCAAGTAGTTCTTTGATTTCTTGTGCTCACTTTATGTCATACGTCTATACGAGCCTTGTTGAGTTTACTAACATTTTCGCCCGTGCGGAACGAATCTGGATTAAGCTCGATTGCCTCCCGTATGGGACTCCAGTGTTATGAAGGATCTTCCGAAATCTCAACTATAGCTGGATTGCCTCCCGTATGGGACTCCAGTACCTTCCGGCTCTGCCGGCTAACTAACACCAAACCTCTTCAGTTTTACTTGGAAGTGTGTATGACTAATATGAGGTAACAGATGACATTTAATGACACATTAAATGAGAGAGGTCTTATTTATCATTAGCAAAGGTTCTTAATTTATGCCTTTGGTTAGCGGTTGTTCTTGTATTTATATTTGGGTGGTAAGAGCAACGATCGTGGGTTTCTCTGCCATGCTCTTTCCCCACAGGAGCTCTAGGTGAGTCTCGCACTCTCATTTTATGTTAAATGGTTGTTAATGTTTTTGTTGTTCTTTCTATTTGTCACATGTTTAATTTGAATTGTATGTAAATAAAGGTTAGGTGTATTTACTCTGCTTTTGTTTTATATAATTAAACCATACATCCCCTCTACAAAGTTAGTAGCCAGCGCCTTCCGGTCAATTAAAAATAGATACACACAACGTAGGGATTCCTTATGACGATCACATGTTTTTGGCCACAACTACGTTTACTTATTTTTTGTCGAACCTAGGGTTGTTATACTACAATTTTTCAGCCGGATTTTAAAAGTAGA